TGCAAAAGACGCTGATTGTTGGAAAACCCCAACAGATCGCCATCGTAGTCGGCGTTACGAATGGAGCACACGCCCGAGCCCTCACGGGAACAAACCAATGGAGTCATTGGCACTTTGCGGGTCCAGGTTGGAAAACGGATGGCCTTCCAAACTTGCAGATCCCAGGGCTGCATCGCAGGATGGCTCCAAACCACGAGCTCACCAAGCCAGATTTGGTTGTCCACGATGATGTGACAGCACCGGTCCTTAGGGAACATACCGTATCCCTCTTGGTTTGGCCCCCGACCAGGAGGCCGGCTGGCCAAAAAGTCCCAGCCCCCAAGAGTCCGCCCGCCAAAAAAAAAAAACGGTCCTCAAAAGCAGGTGGGAAAGCCCAAATTGTCTCCGGCAGGCCCCTACCGGTCAGAAGCCCCCAAAGAAAACCCGCAAATCCCCGACAGGTCCCAGAAAGTGCAGAAACACCCAAAAGTGTGGACAACCCCACCGGCCCCACAAAAAAGCACAACAATAGGATCCAAAAACAAAACTCGGGTCAGAACTTTCGCTCAAAACTTTCGGTCAAAACGTTTCGGTCAAAACTTTCGGTCAAAAGCACTATTGGGACCCAAACCCTATACAATTTCTATAAATCCTAGACCCTAAGTCCTGGCTCAAACCCCAGACCCTACTCCCTATATCCTAGACCCTAAATCCTAAACCCTAAACCCTATACCCTAAACCCTAAACCCTAAACCCTAAACCCTAGACCCCTAGACAGAATCCCCGGTGGAAGGGTCCGGCGTCTGATAGCAGGCACGCGCGCAAACGCCGAAGTCCTCCACAACTGGCTCCGCAACACCGAAGCACAACGAGGCAAGGGCTTGGAGCTTAGGGTTTAGGGTTTAGGGTTTAAGGTTTAGGGTTTAGGGTGTAGTATTTAGGGTTTAGGGTCTGGAGAGTCTGGTGCTTAAGAAGCAGGTTTCGCGAGGGCAAAACAAGTGAACTTGTCGCACACAGCACGGTTTCCACAAGAAAGAGGCATACTAAACCCTAGACCCTAGACCCTAAACCCTAAACCCGACACCCTAAACCCTAAACCCTACACCCTAAACCCTAAACCCTAAACCCTATTCTCAACACCCTGAACAACCCCGGGCAGCCTCAAATTTGGGTTTACGAAAATGGGGGACCCCAAGATACCCAAATAGTAGGATCCCCTTATAATAAGGACCCCAATAAGGTACCCCCCCCTAATAACCAATAACCCCCAGATAAGCTTGTAACTGTACAGGACCGTACAGGATGGCTAGTTCCACCTTAGGGCCTTACATCCTGAATCCTAAACCCTAATCCACAACACCCCAAACCCTAAAACCACCTAGTGCACTTTGAGGAAAGCTTAGCGCTGGGGAACATCAGAAACATCTTTCACACAGCGCAGACCGATACTCGGAGGTTCAGGGTACCTATAACCCAATTACAAGTGTAGTTATAACCCACTTCTACGCCCCTTAAGTACCCCAATAGGGCTATAATTGGGTTATTGCTGCAGTTACAATTGGGTTGCTAAATACTATGAACCTCCAAGTACCCCTGGACCTTGCTTGAAGGTGGCTGGTTTCAACTGGGGGTGCGAGCAGGGTAACCATTCTTGGCATACGTGGCCATATCCTAGTGTCCTGGATACCCGTGCCTGTGACCTTACTGTAACTGCCCATGAACCTCCATAAAAACCTGAACCCTAAAGCCCCAAAGAGCTAAACCCTAAACCCTAGACCAAGATAGATCAAGAGGAGGGCTCCTTGCTATTGAACTTGTCCGTTTGCCTGCACGGGCTCCTACAATCCCGGGTAGCTTGTAGGCTTCCAGGAGTAGGGTTCAGGGTGTAGGGTTCTCTGGCGGTAGTTACATGGTCCCGCAATATGGGCCCTTAAACGGGGACCCCTTATATACCCTATACAAATTAACTTCAGAACCCTTTACAGGAGGTAACGGACCATGCTAAGGGCCCATGTAAGGCTTAATTAAGGTTTAGGGTCAAGGCTTCCAGGCCAGGGCAATTGAAAGGCTTCAGCCTGTGCCAAGCCATAGTTCGCGAAACCCAAGAAGGCCAAAGGTTTGGGGTTTGGGGCTCGTGGTTTACCAGCCTAAGCCCCACACCCTACCGCCCACACCCTCCTTCGCGCCCAACCCCTAAACCCCACACCCTACAGCCCTTACTTCAACCTCAAGCCTGGATCAAATGACACTAAACCCCTAAACCCAAGCCTGAACCGCTGGGTTTAGGGTTTAGGGTTTAGGGGGTTTAGGGGGTTTAGGGGGTTTAGGGGGTTTAGGGGGTTTAGGGGGTTTAGGGGGTTTAGGGGGTTTAGGGGGTTTAGGGGGTTTAGGGCTTAGGGCTTAGGGCTTAGGGCTTAGGGCTTAGGGCTTAGGGCTTAGCAAACCCTAAACCCTAAACCCTAAACCCTAAACCCTAAACCCTCAACGACGGCCGGCCTGCAGTTGTCGTCCCAGCAGCCCATGCTTCCATAGCTGCTGAGGTCCAGGAAGATTCCGTGCGCGTCCGCGTGCCGGTAGACGAAGCCTGGCAGGGCCCTAAATTCCTTCTAGGGTCTAGAGGGCTTGGGGTTTGGGGTTTAGGGTTTAGGGTTTAGGGTTTAGGGTTTGGGGTTTGGGGTTTGGGGTCCGGGGTTTTGGGTTTTAGGGCTCGGGGTTTGGGGCTTGGGGTTTTGGGTTTAAGGCTTATGGTCGAGGGCTTAGGGTTTTCAAGGGTGTAGGGTTTCGGGGTTAGGGTTTTGGGGGTCTCTGGGCCGGGTTTGGGGTTGGCTGTTTGGGTTCTGTTGAGGAGGGTTTAGGATACTGGGGTTTAGGGTTTAAGGGCTTGGGGTGACACCGGGTTAACCCTGAACCCTACGCTTGCGGTTCCTGCGATTATATGGAGCCTTATCAGGGCATCCAAAAAAGGCCACCGTAAACCCTAAAACCTAAACCCTAAACCCTAAACCCTTGAAGATTCATGGACAGTAGAACCTGGGACTCTCGGTATCAGGGCGCCATGTTTGGGGAGGAGAAAGCTGGCTCTAGCTCTGTATGTTCGCCCTGAACCCTAAACCCTAAACCCTAAACCCTAAACCCTAAACCCCTAACTTAGTTACAGCTTGCCAGTTTCAACATGTGACTAATTGTGGGCTGGGGGGGGGGGGTACTTCTAGCTTCTAACCCTCTTTATCATGACCCTACAAGTAAAAGTGTAGGCATTAGATTTTTCTAACTGCCTGAGGGCCTAAACACCCTAAACCCGAAACCCTAAACCCTAAACCCTCAACCCTAAACCCCGACAGTTTAAGGCTTCTTCCGGGCCCCCAAGACAGCCTTGTTCCACGCACTCCTCGGTTCAGAGCTCAGGGTTCAGGGTTCAGGGTTTAGGGTTGAGGGTTCAGGGTTTAGGGTTTAGGGTTTCGGGTTTAGGGTTTAGGGTTTAGGGTTTAGGGTTTAGGGATTAGGGTTTAGGGTTTAGGGTTTAGGGTTTGGGGTCTAGGGCTTAGGGTGAAAGTGCTGCTTTCGGGGTTCGAGCTTAGGCCTTGGGCTTCGCGGAGGGGATGTTCACAGTATTATGGGGTTCTTAAGGGAGAGGGGGGGTTTAAGGAGGGCATCCAACCCAAGGTTCCCAAATGCCCCCCCCCCCCCCCGTTTCTTAGGCTTCCTAAGCTTCCCCTAGGTAACTCCCCCCATGAGCCCCCCCCCCTCCTGAGCAGGGTCCCAGCAAAGTCCCAGTTGGACCAGTACTGTACCGGGCCCATCTGGGTGCTACCGACCTCCGAGCTGCAGGAGGCGGGCAAGTGGCCGACTTTCGCCATAGACGTCGAAGGCCGCCCCCCCCTTTGTAGGGCTGCGGGCTAGGCCCTGAGTTTAGGGTTGCGCTGTTCAACCTACAGTCCAAGACCCCAAACGAGACACCCTCAAATCCTGCGAATGATTACTTCGAGGAACCTATAACACCTGTAAACCCTAGACTCAACAAATCCTGTAGATGCTAAAACCCAAATGACCCAAAATCCTGAACCCCAAACCCTGAACCCTAAACCCTTGGGAGCCCGCGCCGGATATGGGGGCTGCACGGCACAGGCGCTCGCCAGGGCGCCCGCGAGCCAGAGCCGGACCATCCGTTCCGCTTCGCCGATCGGGTTTAGGGTTTAGGGTTTAGGGTTTCGGGTTTAGGGTTTTAGGGTTTAGGGTTTTAGGGTTCAGGGTTTAGGGTTTCGGGGTTTCGGGGGTTTAGGGTTTAGGGGTTTCTGGGTTTCAGGGTTTTAGGGTTTTAGGGTTTCGGGGCTTCAGGGTTTTAGGATTTTAGGGTTTCGGGGTTTAGGGTTTTAGGGTTTTAGGGATTTAGGATTTTAGGGTTTTAGGGTTTTAGGGTTTTAGGGGTTTAGGGCTTTAGGGCTTTAGGGCTTTAGGGATTTAGGGATTTAGGGATTTAGGGATTGAGGGTTGAGGGTTGAGGGTTGAGGGTTGAGGGTTGAGGGTTTAGGGTTTAGGGTTTAGGGTTTAGGGCTTAGGGCTTAGGGCTTAGGGCAGCTGGGAACCAGAGGTTCGAGGGTTAGGGGCTGGGGAGCTTCGGTAGCTCAAGGCTTGGTTAAGGTGGGGTTCAGCTGCCGCTGAGCAGCTAAACTTCTCCTTAAACCCTAAACCCCAAACCCTAAACCCTAAACCCCAAACCCCAAGCCCCAAACCCCAAACCCCAAGCCCTCGCAACCCGAGGGTCTAAGGAACGAGGACTAGGGGGTTGCAAGGATGAAACTTAGGGTTTTAGGGTTTAGGGCTTAGGGCTTAGGGTTTAGGGTTTAGGGATTTGGGGTGCTCGCTACTGGTAGACACGCTAGGGTTGCCCTATGGTAGAGAGTCCCCTTCCGGGACTATGTTTGTGGAGCTCCTTAGAACCCCCATCCCTCAACCCTAAACCCTAAACCTCTCAAGTTAGGCCCTCAAGCCTAGCCCCTAAAGCCCGCAGCCCCTACACCCGCCTCCGCGAAGGCGCTGCGCGCGCGTGAGCGCGAGCACAGCTCCTGCTGTCTAGGCACTCTAAACCCTAAACCCTAAACCCTAAACCCTGTCGCTTGCCCGCCTCCTGCAGCCAGGAGGTCGGTAGCACCCACGATGGGCCCGGTACCGGAGCAGGTTCTCCCGGGGACCAGTACTGGTCCCCTTAATAAAGTAAATACCCTAAACCCCCAGCCCTTCGCTCTGGGGGTTGCTGGCCGTTTCGGGGGGGGTACCCCAAGGCCCCCAGGCCAGGAGGACCCGGGCCCCTCACCGCAGCGTGTCCAGGGACCAGGGGGCCTCAGGCCAGGCCAGGCAGGGCGTGCTCAAAAAATGGGTGTTTTGCGCCCACCCCCTGGCCCCCCCTGGCCCCCCCTGGCCCCCCCCCGGCCCCCCCTGCCCCCCCCTGGCCCCCTGGCCCCCTGGCCCCCTGGCCCCCTGGCCTGGCCCCCCCTTGGCCTCGGGCCCGTCTGGCCCCCTGAGGCCCCCAACCCCTTGAACCTTTTGGCCCCCCCCGCTCCCCTTGGCCCACCTGGCCCCCCTGAACCCCCCTGGAACCCTGGTTTTGGCGCCTCCTTAACTGGGCCGCTTTGGGCCCCTCTGCCGGGCCCCTGGGCTGCCCAGACTGACCCTGGCCTGGGCCCGTGGTCCTTCGTGACGGAATGAAGAAGTTTTATGTAAAGAAAGCAGTTGGCTTGAGTTTAGGCCTAAACCCTAAAAGGAATAGGTTTGGGTGGCTTTGCCGCCTTGGACGGCGTGGGGTGGGAGAAAAGTGCTAGATGGCCTTCCACAATCGGGCCAAAGCTGCTCTTCGCACCTCACGACGCTTTCGAGCTTGTTCCAAAACCTAACCTTCACAGCATCTACGCCCTATCACAGCAAACCCTAAACCCTAAACCCTAAACCCTACATGGAAAGTTATGTCTAGGGCGTAGGGTTTAGAGCTCGGTCGTCCTCAGCCCTACCCAAAAGTCGGCTTAGGGGTCTTAGGGCCTTGGGGCTTCGAGTTGAGCGGTTTAGGGTTTAGGGTTGAGAACCCTAAACCCTAAACCCTAAACCCTGAACCCTGAACCCTAAACCCTAAACGCTCCAGGCCTTGGGGCACACCATCTGGTTGTTACTGGCCAACTAGGCGGGGAATCGAGTAGGATTAGAAGCCCCAGGCCGGCTTCAGGGATTCCGGGCTTAGGGTCGAGGGTCGAGGGTTTAGGGTTTAAGGATTAGGGTTTAGGGTCCTTAAGTAAGCTTTCAACTGTAAACACTGACCAGCTGCCCCTAAATTCTAAACCCTAAACCCTAAACCCTAGACCCTAGACCCTAGACCCTAAACCCTAAACCCTAAACCCTAGACCCTAAACCCTCGACCCTAGACCCTAAACCCTAGACCCGGAACCTGCTCAAGTGGGTGTTCGGAGTCCGGGATGAAGATTTTGGGCTTCGAACTGAGGGATTTAGGCTTGCTAGAGGGGTCCTAAAGATTTAGATTGGGATGTTCCTGCTTATACTAACCCTAGGATTTAGGGTCTTTAACCCTAGGATTTAGGGTCTTTAACCCTAGGGTTTAGGGTTTAGGGTTTAGGAATACTGACATCCCTTAATAAGGATCATAGTACCCCCTATCATAATCCCTAGAAAGGGCTCTTAGTATCTCTTAGTATAACGGGGAACATCCCAAACCATAAGCCCTAGACCCTAACGGCGTGGTCAGTTTGCTTGCGTGCTCGCGTGGGCCATTCTTTCGACGACCGCAAAGGAAGGTGTTGACAGATTCCTCTACAATCGCAAGACCTATTTCTCGGCACCCAAAAATAAATGCTCTTAAACCCAAAAAGAGTGTCCCGAGGGCCTACCTGGAGAAGTCTGGTATCCTGCACATGCCCTAAACCCAAACCCCTAAACCCTCCTAAACCCTAAACCCTAAACCCTAAACCCTAAACCCTAAACCCTAAACCCTAAGCCCTAAGCCCTGAACCCTAAACCCCGTCTTGTGAAGGCCAGGAGCCTTTGCGGCCAAACAACTGTTTGTTGTGCATGTCTTCAGGATACACGTGCTGCTGGGCATACTTTGGGATGTTCCTCCTCATACTAACAGTCCTTCATAGGGATCCCAACAGCGGGTACTATGATCCCTAGTAAGGACTGATAGTATAAGGGGAACATCCCAATAAATATTCACGACTAATGTTCACTACCCTCTACATCTCAAGCTTCAACTCCAAGAGGCATAGGTGCAAGATTGGACTTTGGCTTTTGTGGGTGTTTCGCCATGGATATCACAGAACGCTTTGCGTTTGTGATGCGTGTGCATGCGCACACTCGAGGCTTTAGGGAAGTTTAGGGTTTAGGGTTTAACTAGGGTTTAGGGAAGGTTCGGGTTTAGGGTTTGGGGTTTAACTAGGGTTTAGGGAAGTTTCGGGTTTAGGGTATAGGGTCCAGGGCTGTGCGTTCGCCTGCCGCACCTCACCCAAGAAGTCGCTGGCTGTCCGCCTGTGAGAAATGACTGCGTTCAAAGTTAGGGTGTAGGGTTTAGGGTGTAGGGTTTGGGGTTTAGGGTTTGGGGTTTGGGGTGTAGGGCTTAGGGCTTAATTAGGCCTTGGGGTTAGGGTGTGGGTCGGGTTTAGGGCTTGAGGGAAGTCTTTGTGGTCTACGATTTGGAATGTAGGCCTAGGGTATTACTAAGCCCAAGCCCATCCCAAATGCGGCATGTGGCACCAATCTAGACAGCTTCGAATGCTATTGATGCTGATACTTACGTTTACCAACTAACTGCCCAAACCCCCTCAATATTCTCCATAGCTTTAAGTCCTGGATTCTTCACAGGGCCAGGGTTTTGGGGCCTGGGGCTTCTGATTCTTATGCACCCTTTGTTTGGGGTTGAACTGCAAACCCTAAACCCAGAACCCTAACCTCCACCCTTGTCGGGGATAAGGGCGCCAAAACATCTCATCGCCTGCTCAGCACCATGGGCAGTAGCGCCTCACCCGAAGTTGCAGCTCCTGCAACCGTGAGACTCCTAAGCGCCTGCTTGGGGTTGAGGGTTTAAGGTTTAGACAAGGCCATCAAGAAATTAATGAGCTACGAGCTACCAAGAAAACTGGCTGAAAAACAAATGATGTAGCACCCTTATGTTGGCAACTTACTTGAAGCTCCGCAACAAGAACACAGCCTAAACTTATTTGTCCTGAACAAGGAATGAAGAAAGAAGTCATGTACCCTTATTTGACCCTTTATGTTAAGGAGGTTCAAGGCGGGAAGTCAGCCGCTGCGTTTTGGGGTGTTTTTTCAGCGCCGTGACTTCCCGCCGCCATAAACGAAAAACAGTAAAGAAACCTTCAAATCCCATATCTCGCGCCGAGACGTGATGCTTGCGCTATTTAAGAGATTAGTACCGAACTACATTTTTTCGCGGGTATATGAAGCGTACGTTTCATTTTGCAAACCTGCCACGCTGAAACATCGGTGCTCCTACCTAAGCAATGACGAAAAGTCTTGCCATTGGCCTGACTAACTACGAAAAGTCGGGCCATGTTCTTGAAACCAACTGTTGTGATATTTCCACGAACGAAGCATCTCGGCGACTGTCACTTCAACAAGTTTCGCGTATGGTGCCTTTGCACAATCAGACGCCACTTACGCCTATCCCAATGGTTTGGAAGGTGGCCAGACATTCGGCGCCTTACCCACCTCGTGATGAGACTCCATGCAACCTCAATGGGATTTGTGGTGAAACCGTTCTGATTTTTAATTTCTCCTCACTGCGGTTGACAATTTCGCGCGGCAAGGACTCCGAGAGCTACTCTTGCTCCTCCGAAAAGCTTTCATGGCTGACACTGTGCTTTCCATTTGTCGCTCACGAAGACATCATGCTTTCTAGCCCCAGGCTTGTCCATGTCGCACAACATCTCCTTGTGCCCGTGCGGCTTGCCATGGAAAGATGTTCAAGGGCTTAGGGTTTAAGGTTTAGGAATTAGGGTAAAGAATGAGTTTGCACATGGCCTTCGAGCACCGAAGGCTCCATAGCCAGATCTGCTGCCGCTGAGGCCAAATGATCTGCATGGTGTAGGGAACGGCTGGTTCCTTGCGCAGAACGGATGAGGAAGTTGGGCATATTTGGCTTCATAGCAAGTCTGGTAGATGGTGTCGAACACGGTGTTGGTCACTGCCAGAATTTCTGGCCTAAGAGTACGCCTGCGAGCTGCTCGATTTTGGGCTCTAGATTGCGATTCGGCAGATCGCAGACGCGAACGTCACCAGTGGCACGGTCTGACTTCAGGATCTCTTGGTCGGCCGCGTAACTTCCCATAATATGCACAGGCGGGGTGCTACGAAACTGTATTCCGAGTAAGCAGCCAAAAGGCCTGCCAGATGATGTGTTTGGGTGTGAGTGCAAGGCTCATAGGGAGAACTGGAACACCGAAACCAAAAAAGTTGCCCCAAAGACCAACTCTCAAAGAACCAAGAAAACCATTGCCAAACAAAACCAAAAAACTAAAAAAACAAAAACCATTTTCCGGGACTTCTGATTTCTAAGATTATTTCCATAGCTTCCACAGAGTCCCGGAAATTGGCTGTTTTTGGTTTGTGGTTTTTGGTGGAAATTGGCTTTCTGGGCTTTGGTGTTGTGGTGTTTGGCTGTCGGTGTTCCTGTTCTCCCAAGAGCCTTGCAAAACTCGCATTTTTTGGGGTTTGCCTATGTTTAACATTGTTGTTGCGGTTGTTGCAATTCTTGCCTGATTGCCAAAACCTCTAAAACTCAGCGGCTGAGAAACAGCTTTGAAAACCGTTCAGGACTATATGATGGCACGAACCACGAAATAAAGCCCCGGCTTGTCCGCCGGTTATGAATGAGCCTTCAGAATTTAGGGTATAAGGATAGGGTTTATGTCAATGTGAAACTTGCGCACTGCAAGGCCTCCAGCAGTACAGCGGGATCAGCTTTGCCAATTTCTTTTGCAAAAACATCCAGTAGGGCACGTTGAGGTCATTGCACACACATCGAAATCGGCACTTAGGAGTTTTTGGCGGTTTCCGGAACCAAGAACGAAACAGCAAAAGCGCTCGAGGCGCACGGGCTTTTGTCTTTTGATCAGCAGCCGCAGAACCACCTCGATTGCGGTGACCCCGTTCTTGCTCAGAACAGTCTCCGCCTGCTGAACAAGAGCGTTCGCAACGCCGGCGCCGCGGAAGTTGCGCCCTAAAACCGATGACGCGAGCCCTTGTGGGCAGCAGCCCAGAAAAGCGAAGTCCAAAGCTCTCTCTCAACATCAGAAGTTTTCATGAGCACAGACGCTGAAATGCAAGGCTCTGGACTTTGGGGTTTGGGGCGATCTCCGCGCTTGGGCCCAAACAAGGTAAAGGTGGCACAGGTCCAAGCATCGCGATACTTGGGCGAGAGCCTTGCACGAAGCGTGCGCCATGAATCGCACAGGCACAACCACGGCCTGAAGTCTGGGCTGCGCACTGAGCCGGCACTGCGCTTTTGCAGGAGGGCTCCGCGTGCCTGCAACACATGAATGATGGCAAGACTCCAGAAACGCCTGGACCGTGGCCTCCTCGAAGGCAGCCACCGCCCTTTGCATCCACTGTTTTGAGCGGTTGCCCTGCCGATGAGGGAACAACCGCTGGCCAAATGCTTTCAAAGTATCAGATTCGTGGACGACAGCGAAGACAAACACAAAAAAGGGTTTCGGCTTCGGAGATATTTGCGCAGGCACATATGATTGACAGAGAGCCTGTCGAGCACCCCTAGGGGGGCACCCCTTCTAGAATGCTCCGACACGCGCACTGCATATTCCCGAACTGTTTCCCCGCAATGCTTGGCCGCCAAACGAACGAATGAAATTTCCAAAGCAAAATCATGGATGAGGAGAACCGGTGTCTATACGTACACGCAAAGAAAACATCAACGATCTAGCATGACTGGCATCTGAGACATATCTGCATTTCTCCATCCAATCATTCACCCCTTCGTGCTTGATGAGGGTTACGTCCAAAACGTTTCCCCGAAGTCAACGATCCCGGCATCTGGTGAAGGGGGGTCGATATCCGGAACGTGCAGCGCAGACCTTGTCCATGGGTCTGCGTTGCTTGTTCTCGGACGTTTCGCGTCAACTTGCCCGAAACTGAATCGAAACTGATGCACTCACCGAGCCTCCACGTGCGGCACCTCAAAACGATTCATTTGGCGGATCGGCTCCACAGCAAGTCTGTCAATGAGGCATAGCACTGGGCAACTGGCCTTCTTTTGTGTGGAAGCGAGGTGCTGGCGAAGGATCGCTACTTGTTGATGCCTCACGTTGCGTTGGCATACTTGCGTCACGCGATTTATGCCAGACTGCTCAGCCCCGGGCCCCCATTGAGTGTCACTACAATGCAGTGTGCCTGGGATACCTCCAAACTGCAGCAAGAAGTCGACCTCCTCGGGCACACCGAGAAGTAAGTAGTAGGTAAGCAAGTAAATAAGCAAGTAAGCAAGCAAGTAAGCAAGCAAGTAAGTAAGTGTGGGGGAGTGCGTGCTCGCACATGTGCATGGGAGTGCGCACGCGGTGTTCGTGTGCGTGTGCGTGTGCGTGCGCGTGCGCGTGTGCGTGTGCGTGCGCGCGCGCGCGCGCGCGCGCGTGCGCGTGCGCGTGTGCGTGCGTGCGGCGTGGGCGTGCATGGGCGTGGGCGTGTGCCTGCGCGTGCTTGAGCGTGTGCGGGCGCGCGCACGTGCGCGTGCGCGCGTGCGCGTGTATGCGTGCGTACGTGTCTCTGTGTCTCTGTGTCTCTGTGTCTCTGTGTCTCTGTGTCTCTGTGTCTCTGTGTCTCTGTGTCTCTGCGTCGCTGTGTCCCTGTGTCTCTGCGTCTTTGTGGCTGTGTGTCTCTCTGTGTCCGTGTGTCTCCGTGTGTCTCTGTCTGTCTGTCTGAGTGTGTGTACACAGCCCTGTTCCGAAGGGTTCTTGACTGTGCTCTCATCTCACACAGGGTGAGACCGGGTTGTGAGTTCATTCCTGGAGTCTCCACTGATGAGGCCTAACCCTCCCAGGAAGGGCCGAAGACCCCCTTGCCGCATCTGGGCCTGTCATGACAGCTGATGGGCACACCTTCTGGTTCATGACATCTGTATGTCAAAAAAACTGTTTGGATGCATCTCGGCCATGCTTAAGTGCCCCGCGGAAGTTGCGCCCGACCCAACTCCATCCTTCCTAAACGGTCCTGAACCCCCTTCAAGCAGTCGGAGGGGAGATGAAAAACATGAAAGCTTGAAACGCCTCCGTCTGGACTCAGCCACACTTGGACTGATGGACTAGCGCATGCCTATGGGCGCGAGCAAAGACACTGGGAGGCACTTCACAAAGAGATCGGCAGGATTCTCCGCGCCTGTGCCATATGCCCCAAGTCATGTGCGGATTGTTTTTGATCCCGTGAGCAAAACACTCGCAGATTCGGAATCCGTTAACAGCTGCGCGTAAGGCCACTCAGCCTTTGAGAGCCAAGGAAATCCTACGCTCAACAAGCAAAACCACCAGAGACTCTTGACCCGCTAGATCGAACTCCGCTCCACTTTGCAAGAACTCAACCTAACAGCTCAAAAAAGTGCAACGGCTCAGTTTTGGCAACGGGCTCAGTTTTGCAGATCTTTGCGCCAGCACGCATACTGCTTACTCAGGCTTACTCTGGTCAGCTCGAGGCCACGCCCACGGCTGCGGATGCAATTTTGCTATAGCGACTTGCGCTTTCAGCATTTTTCCGTTGTATATCTAGCATTTCTGTCCCATTTTATCTAATCGCAGCTGAGCACGGACATGGATAATAACGATCTAGATGAGGTAGTGACCTGCGCAGCGCGGGCGTTTACTTGTTCACAGTCTAGGCTGAAGGGTGTAAGGCTCACGAAAGACAGCATGCTGATTGAACTTGCTGTTGATGGGCAATGGGACAAAGCACTTGCGGAAATGGCGGCGCTGTGTAACTGGCACAGAAGACACGGCACCCTAAACCCTAGACGCGGCTGTGATCGTCGGAAGTGTGCCAGTTGGAGTCGCGAATCAAAACGGCGATACAGAGAGAATGACAAACACAAAGACAAAGCTAACAGACAAAAGGGTTTAGGGTTTCGGGTTTAAAGCCACGATGTTGTAAGCCATAACCCATAATTAATCTGCGACATATCTACTAAAGCTACAACCTTCAACCCTGCACCTGCACGGGACCTCAGGCTGATCCTGAATAAGAACCCACCCAGGGATGCAGCACAAGACGCCCGATGCAGTGCCCGCCCCTTCTGTGTAGTCATGCAGACTCGGCGGCTAGGGTTTTCACTTTTCACTGACAAGTTCATGCATACTTATTTCCTCATCAACAACCAAGGGGTCCCTAAACAAGACCTTCGCAAGCCCAAAAAAAGCCGTTCTCACGCCCTAAGAATGAAACATGGGCCCCTTACCCTCCCTCCCTTACACCCCGCCTGGTTCCTCGTGATACTTTGAAACGGTTCATAGCAGCCGTAACAATCACCTACTATCATAGCAACCAGAATCATGATCATGCTCATAGTAGCACTAACAACCAATATCATGATCATAATCAGGATCCGTGTTGCGGGGTTTAGGGTTTCCGGTTTAGGGCTTTAGGGCTTAGGGCTTTAGGGCTTCGGGCTTAGGGTTTAGGGTTCAGGGGCCTAGAGACACATCATAAACATGCTGGGCTCCTTGGCGGCGACAAGGGCGGATCCTTGACGCAAGTTTGCTAACAGTTGAGCAGGTGAAGGGTTCAGGGTTCAAGGTTCAGGGTTCAGGGTTCAGGGTTCAGGGTTCGGGGTTCAGGGTTCAGGGTTCAGTGTTCAGGGTTTAGGGTTTAGGGTTTAGGAAGTAGGGTTTAAGGTTTAGGGCTTAGGGTTTAGCTGACTGCACAACCCTGAACGCCTAACGCCTAGACCCCAAAACTCCTGAAGCCAAAGCACTGAACCCCTTGAAGCCCAAATTGCAGCGCGTGAAGCTCTAGAGCTGGCTCAAAGAAGCATCGAAGGCTGTGCACAGCTTAGGGTTTAGGGTTTAGGGTTTAGGGTTTAGGGTTTAGGGTTTAGGGTTTAGGGTTTAGGGTTTAGGGTTTAGGGTTTAGGGTTTAGGGTTTAGGGTTTAGGGTTTAGGGTTTAGGGTTTAGGGTTTAGGGTTTAGGGTTTAGGGTTTAGGGTTTAGGGTTTAGGGTTTAGGGTTTAGGGTTTAGGGTTTAGGGTTTAGGGTTTAGGGTTTAGGGTTTAGGGTTTAGGGTTTAGGGTTTAGGGTTTAGAGTTTAGGGTTTAGGGTTTAGGGTTTAGGGTTTAGGGTTTAGGGTTTAGGGCTCGAACTGTAGGGCTCGAACTCGTGTATTTTATAGAGCTCCTGGCTGTGCAGAAGGGCGCCAAGGATCCGCCCTTGTCGCCGCCAAGGAGCCCAGCACGTTCATGATAAACCCTGAAGCCTAGACCCTAAACCCTAAACCCTAAACCCTAAACCCTAAACCCTAAACCCTAAACCCTAAACCCCAAGCTGGGCAGCCCAGCGGCCCGGTGGGCTCCGCCTCCTCTGCGAAGTGGGGCGGGATTCGCCCTGGCATGGTGCCTGGGCTCATCTTCGGGCCTCTCTAGGGTTCATGGGCTGGCCCTACACCCTAAACCCTAAACCCTAAACCCCAAACCCTAAACCCTAAGCCCCAAACCCTAAACCCGAAACCCATCTTTATGGATCTTACAGGGTTTGTGGGGTTGAGCGGGCTTGTGGGGTTTAGGGTGTTAAGACTGTAGGGCTTTAGGCCTTCAAGGTTTTGGCTGCCGGGCAGTGAGTCTTCAGGACTTCGGGTTAATAAGGTTTAGGGCTTGGGGTTTGGGTTTGGGGTTTGGGGTTTGGGGTTTAGGGTTAGGGTCTTAGAGTTCAAGCTTCAGGTGTCATAGACTCTTCGGGATTTAGGGTTTGGTCTTTCGGGGCTTGGGGTTTGGGTGTTAGACCGGGCATTACATGTAGACATGGCTCCTCGTGGTATGTTGAAGTAGGGTTACAAGTACCCTTATCACTGGTTCTGACCACAGTTTCTCCACTTCCCCGACTCATATGACTACCCACATTGCCAGGTCTGACCTTGCGGGAGAGGGAGATTCGGGGACCGACCTTGGGGGTGCAAGCGGCTCTTTGGTAACGAGTTTGGGGTTTGAGTTTAAAAGTTTTAAAAATTTGGGGTCTAAAATTTAGGGTTTAGGGTTTAGGGTTTAGGGTCTCGGGTTTAGGGTTTAGGGTTTAGGGTTAGGGTTTAGGGTTTAGGGTTGTGGGATTAAGGCTTTGGGGTCTTTAGGGTGGCAGAATCGCATCTGCCATGGCCTTCTTTCAGTACTAGGGGGACTCCCCCGACATGCACCCGGCTCACGACCTTCCCGTCCTTGGCCTTGTGCCCCTTGTCGTGCTTTATGGGTTTGGGGTTTAGGGTTTAGGGTTTAGGGTTTAGGGTGTAGGGTTTAGGGTTTAGGGTTTAGGGTTTAGAGTTTAGGGCTTTAGGGCTTTAGGGTTTAGGGCTGTACCTCGATTAAAAATCACCCTGGCATCCCCTGCGCTTCCGTCCGGCGCAGGAGAGCATATCTGGAGTACGCGGAAAATGGCATGCACCCTCCATTGGTTGAGAGGCCTTGCAGCCCTGAAATGCCCTAAAGACCCCAAACCCCCAAAACGCGTGTTTAGGGAGAATTTAAAACATCCTCAAAGAGAAGCCCCCTGAAAACGATGTGAAGTTTTGTGCTTCAGGACTTGGGGCTTCGGATTTCGTGCGGTAAAGGGCCGCTGGCTTGCGGACCCGAAACCCTAAACCAGATGTAGACCCTAAACCCTAAACCATAAACCTAAACCCTAAACCCTAAACCCCAAGCCTGGGCACAAGTACCGTTACCTCAAGAACCTGGAGGAGCTGGGGCTCACGCGGAAGTCGGGTGGATCCAGACAGAGACGCGGGAAGGAAGGGCCACTTGTCTAGGTCTAGGGTTTAGGGTTTAGGGTTTGGGGTTTAGGGTTTAGGGTTTAGGGTTTAGGGTTTAGGGTTTAGGGTTTAGGGTTTAGGGTTTAGGGTTTAGGGTTTAGGGTTTAGGGTTTAGGGTTTAGGGTTTAGGGTTTAGGGTTTAGGGCTTGATTCAGGGTTTAGGGCTTGGATAAGCTGAAAGCATGCTAGTTGTTGATCGTTCCTGTTGTGGTAAAGTCTGAACTTCGGTGCCTTCAGCCAGCCAGCTGTTACACTCTGGAATGCAGGGTCTTGGGAGACTCAACCCGAAACCCTAAAACCCTAAAACCCTAAACCCTAAACCCTAAACCCTAAACCCTAAACCCTAAACCCTAAACCCTAAACCCTAAACCCTAAACCCTAAACCCAAGTAGGGTCCAGCAATGTCTTAGGCACGAAGGCTGAAGGGCTCGGGCTTCGAGCTTCGGACTTGGGGCTCTTCGACCCTAAGCCCTGAAAGCCCTATATAAACCCCTAAACCCTAAACCCTAAACCCTAAGTTCTAAGCCGTAAGCCCTAAACCCTAAACCCCAAACCCTCAAACCCTCAAAGGTTTAAACCCCTAATCATGTCTCGAGCCGCGACGCTGCCCGCAGCATCACCCACACCAAACCCAGAGCACCCAAAAAGCCTGGTTAGGGCTTAGGTTTAGGGTTTAGAGTTTGTAGGGTTTGTAGGGTTTAGGGTTTAAGGTTTAAGGTTTAGGGTTGAGGGTTTAGGGCGTCTCGACGCGCAGCCCCCTCCCGCCCCCACACACACCTGGGTTTAGGGTTTAGGGTTTAGGGTATAGGGTTTAGGGTATAGGGTTTAGGGTGTAGGGTTTAGGGTTCCCAATACCTTCACTCGGATGCAACAAAGCATCCGCACACGAAACCGATCCCAAAAAACGCCATGAAACCCTCAACCCTCAACCCTCAACCCTCAACCCTGAACCCTCAACCCTCAACCCTGAGGAATTCTGACATTGAGGGGGTCAGGAGTCCGAAGTTCAATGTCAGGAGTCCGAAGTTCAATGCTTTAGTTTGCGAGTTTGGCTTGAGATCAGGGCTGAGGGCTTAGGGTTTACGGGTAAGGTTAAGGCTTTTAGGGGTTTAGGGTTTAGGGGCTAGGGGTTAGGGTAGGGTTTAGGGTTTAGGGTTTGGGCCCATTCAGAAAGAAGCCCCTAAAACCCTGAACCCTGAAGCCTCTTTTGCCGCAACTTCTGTTGAAGATACTGCAGCGCGGGGGGTTTTTCTATTGGTGAAACAACAGGGCTCGACCTCATTTGAGGGCTCACCGGATAAGCACAAGAGGTGACAACTCTTCGCCCAAATCCACAGGCTAATTGCCAACCCCTTTGGGATCCTTTGTCCAGAGAATTTGGTGCATTGCATCAAAAAATTCGGGGTCGACTCCTCCGCCTCCCTCACTCCACTGAAACAGCTCGCACTTCCAGCAAACCCCATGCCAATGCTGCTACGCGCAAGGTTCAGGTCTTGAAGCCTGGGATATCTGCGAACCATCGCTGCAAGTTCGAGAACGCGAAGAACGAGCCAAGATCACAACCCTGAAGACCTAAATCTTAGCCTAAACCCTAAACCCTAAACCCGAAACCCTAGTCATATTCAAGGGAGTCCTGGAGAGCCACCACAAAAGCAGGGACAGACCCCGGGCAATGCCGGAGGAGAACACGTTTTGGGTTCACAGTCTGGGCTATATGTTTACATACCCTAAACCCCAAACCCCAAACCCTAAACCCCAAACCCTAAACCCTAAACCCTAAACCCTAAACCCTAAACCCTAAACCCTAAACCCTAAACCCTACCAGAAACCCTCGACAACAATCCACCCTGAGGACTAGCAGCTTCGGACGCAGGCTCAGGGCCTCGAAGGGTGGGGCTGAGGATTCTGGGATTGTAGGATTTAGGGTTTAGGGTTTAGGGTTTAGGGTTAAGGGTTTAGGGTTTGCATCGAACTCTCTCTTTGCTCATGAGGAGCCTCAAAGACAGGCTATGCCCTAAACCCTAAACCCTAAACCCTAAACCCTAAACCCTAAACCCTAAACCCTAAACCCTAAACCCTAAACCCTAAACCCTAAGCTCCAGCAGACCTACCGGGGTCTATCCCAGACATGTAGAGGACGGGCTGGGCACCAGCCCTCGATCTGCGAGGACACAGCCACGTACAATCCCACAGGGTTTAGGGTTTAGGGTTTAGGGTTTAGGGTTTAGGGTTTAGGGTTTAGGGTTTAGGATTTAGGGTTTAGGGTTTAGGGTTTAGGGTTTAGGGTTTAGGGTTTTAGGGTTTTAGGGTTTTAGGGTTTTGGGTTCAGGGTTCCGGGTTTCGGGTTTAGGATTCACATGGCTTCATAGGGTATACGGTGCTCATAGGGCAAGAAGGGCTAAGAAGATTCATTGGGCTTCTAGGGCTTAAGAACTATCTTCTTTGATTTATGAAGGCCTACAAGGGAACCTAATCACCAAACAAAATCAAACCCTAAAACCCACCGCCTGAACCCTAAGCACCTAAACCCCGGGCCTAGACCCTTCGGGCCTTAAACCACATCGCAAACACAAAACCCTGACTTGGGTTAGGGGCGCTTGGGGTTTAGAGTTTAGGGTTTAGGGTTTAGGGTTTAGGGGTTAGGGTTTAGGGTTTAGGGTTTAGGGTTTAATTAGGGTTTAGGGTTTAATTAGGGTTTAGGGTTGAGGGTTTAGGGTTTAGGGTTTAGGGTTTAGGGTTTAGGGTTTAGGGTTTTTGTGGTGTCGAGCTAGCGTTGCGTAGCGGCACCTGTGCCACCGCCCTTTGCATCACAAAGGCGAGAGCGCCTGCATGGGTTGCACCCGAAGCATAAAAATCTGGCGCTCCGAGGAGGTCGGTTCGGAGCTTTGTGCTCCCTGCTTACAGCATGATATACGGCACACAACTCTTCGGGCTCGGATTTCGTACCCTAAACCCTAAACCCTAAACCCTAAACCCTAAACCCTAAACCCTAAACCCTAAACCCTAAACCCTAAACCCTAAACCCTAAACCCTGAAAAAACCTAAGCTGTAAACTGTTTAGTAAGCAGTCTGTGCCCTTGGTTGCGTTCACTCCTTAAGCCAGAGTGAGCCAAGTACAGCTCATCCCGCAGCGATCTCCTGTTTCAGAAATTAGGGTTTAGGGTTTAGGGTTTAGGGCTTAGGGTTTAGGGTTTCCCCACCCCCCCCCCCCCTGTGGTGTGTGGGGGATTGCCACACACCGCACGCGCGCGCGCGCATCTACCCCGTATCCCCCGAAATTCCTGTATACAAAACTATAGACTTAGCTAAGGTTTAGGGTTTAGGGTTTAGGGTTTAGGGTCTAGGGTTGAGGGTTTAGGGTTTAGGGTGTGCATCCCTGGCAGACCCTCGACCCCTTCATGCGGCTGGGGGGTTGAAGGTATAGGGGGTCCCTCACCCCTACCGCCAAACCCCGAACCCTAAACCCTCAACCCTCAACCCTAAACCCTCGGGGTGCTCAATCCAGAGTGCACCGAATGACAAGTCAGCCAACTCAGCTTTAACTTGGAGACTTTCTCGGTTCTGTAGCCCAGGGTTCACCCTAAACCCTAAATCCGAAA